TATATATATATATATATATATACTTCTTTATTACTTTTATATACTTCTTTATTACTAGAGGAGAACGACAAAAAGTTATAATGAACAGTAACATAGGCTTCTAAACAATGAAAATAAAAAATAAAATGAGAACCCACTTTTCAACCCATCCATTTACTCCCACGTTCTCTCCAACGTTCCCATTTCCCAAACTTCCCACGTTTCATCCTTTCTTCGATCTCAACCCCCCTTCCGCTCTCGCGATCTCTCTCCCTCCCCACTTCCGCTCTCAACCGGCGGTGGTGACACGACGACGACGACGACGACAATGACGTGATCTCTCTCCGCCGCCATCTCCAACGGCGACGACCTCTCCCCCTTCATCCGCCGCTTCTTCGCCCAGTTCAAGCCCGAGGCCCTCCTCCACAACCTCCGCCTCTTCGCCCGATCCAAGGAGTCCGAGATCGAGTCCGTCTGCAAAGTTCACTACCAGGACTTCAATCGCGCCTTCGACGACCTCCGCTCCCTCCTCTCCAAGGCCGAAACCCTAAAAAGCTCGATCTCTGACTCCAACTACACTATCCAGTTCGTCGGTGGCCCGCTCCTGGTGTCGCTCACCCCCTAATTCTCAATAACCCTCTCGATAAACAGGTTGTTTGATCTCTCAACGACCCTCTTGATTCCTTTCTCTCAAATGGGTAATCCTTCTTTCTTTCAATTTTAATTCGTTCCCTTTCTAATTCTTAATGATTTTAGAATGGACCCATCAATTATTTTGATGTCTTCAGTCGGTTTTCCTCTAAAAATATTTTCTTGTCTAGTTGATTTTGTGATTTTACAAGAATTAATTATTTGGTTTTAATTGGTTCTCTATGTTGTTGATTCATTTTGGGGATTTTTAATATGGGCATTAGGGTGTCTTTTTTGTTGATTGATAATTAAATTTCTTTCCATTTTCTGGGTTTAATTTTACAGAGACAGATTTGATGAGTTCTCATTAGGACAATGACGATGAGTACGAAATATTCAATCAGAGAATGAACCCACCAAGGTTTGCATCTTTTGATTTTTTTGGTCTATTCTTTTATTCATTTACTTTCAATCTTCTAATTTCTTGAATTTGTTCCATGTTAGGGTTGTAATTAATAATGAATCATGTGCTAATGCAACAATTGTTAGAGGAAGTTTTTTCTCAGTGCGTATTGAGTCTTATAAGATTAGAAACTAAGTTGGTTATTATGAGTTCTTGCCTTGAGAAAGGTAGCCCCTGATAAGCTGGTTATGAGATGTTCAGGACGCCTCAATATTCGACCGTCTCCCTCAATTGATTGTCTTATGGAAAATGTTGCTTTGGAGATTGGAACCCCTATGGATGCTTGGTGGAGTGATGGGCAGTGGGAAGGCATTGTAACTGGAGTAGAGAGCTGTAGAGAGCTCCGGAAATGACAGTGTACAAGTCTATTTTCCAGGTATATCTTCTGTTTCTTCTAATTGAGCTATAAAAATGTTTATCTTTTCATAAGATAGCTTCTGTTTCTTCTAATTGAACTATAAAAATGTGTATCTTTTCATAAGATTAAAGCTGTGAGTATACCCTAACATCAGTTTTGACTTATGTACAAGCAAGAGCAGCTAATCGGACATATTAAGTTAACTGATGTGAACCATTATCTAACATTAAGTGTCTTTGACAATTTTGCATAACTAATCCTAAGTCAATCTTAATTGAGAAAATTCACTTATCCATCATGAATAAGTAGTATATGCCTTTACATGGGCTACAATATCACGTGCTAATGTTTGAATGATCAGTAGATATGTATCTTTTGGTTTCATGCAAATATGGTGTTAGTTGCTCTGAGTACTGCGATAAGCTATTGTTGAAACTCATGATGTATTCTCGCTTTTTCTGCATAATCGAACTGAGTTTAACAGCATGCTGTCATGGCAAGATCACACAGATAAAAATCAGCAGAGAAGCACCACTAAAAGTATTGGAATTTATTGATTGAATACAAGTGGAATGAAAGTCTTAATGAAGTCTTCTAGCATTTGCAGGTTGCCAGCATTAAGCTATCAACTATCTCTGCCCACATAAGCTAAAGACGACACAGATTTACATACCTCTGATTTTCAGACTCCTCTCATTGTTCAAAACCTTTTTATATTCCTATATTTCACTGTAAGAAAGGCACACCAAGCTTGCCCAGACTAAATATCTAATTTGGGAATTTTCTCTGCCTTTTTTTTTTGATGTTTTACAGCATTTATTCATCAATTATCATGGTTTTCTTTCCTTTTTTTCTTTTCAAGTTTCTGGTAGCTGATTCAAGGGAATGCATTTTTTAACCCGAAGCAATTTTTTTTAATTAACGATAGATTTTTTATATGCATTTAAAAAGTTTTTATGTGGGTGTGCATTTTTATTTGAACTATCAATTAATTGCTTAAATGCAATGCACGGGTTAAGTAGTCTTCTGCCCATGCCATTGCCAAGTCAGGATCAATGGAACCAGGATCTTTATGTGTTTCTTTAGATTCGTATATAAGGTCAGATATCCCCGTAGCAACAACTGGGTCATTTAAACCAGAAGCAACACTGATATTGTGTCGGTTTCTATAGATGTCAAGGAGTTTGACACTCTCTCTCTCTCTCTCTCTCTCTATATATATATATATATATATATATATATATATATATATATATATATATATATATAGAGAGAGAGAGAGAGAGAGAGAGAGAGAGAAATGGGTATGCTTGGTACCAAGCATAAATTTTGTGCTTGGTAGTGATGTGTCTTATTCTCATCCACTCATTTCAATTCCCAACCATTCCCCAACCCATGTGAATGTGGGCCCCGATTTCAGTGAGTGGAGGGGAATATGTCACCTCACTACTAAGCACAAAAACTTGTGTTTGATACAAATCATACCCATTTTTCTCATATATATATATACTAGTATTTAGACCCGTGCAAAGCACGGTTTCTAAGAGAATTTCTGCAAATATTGAACATGTTACCAAAATAAAGTATTTTGCTTTAGATATGAAGTAGTAGATGTAATGCAAATAATGACATTCATGTTTGTTAATAAATAAACAAAAAAGAAGCATGACCTATATAAATACAGAAAGTGCAGCTTGCCTGAAAGCCCAAAAAATCTACTTTTGTCTTCTTTGGTTTAGCGCATGTTCTTTTTCTAATGAATTTCCAAAAAAATCAGCGAAGTAAGGACTATGATCAGGAAACAAAGCATGGTTATCTTTTTCTAATGAATTTCCAAAAAAATCAGCGAAGTAAGGACTATGATCAGGAAACAAAGCATGGTTATAGCAACCGAAGAAATGTAATTATGTTGAAAAAGATCCTCAGTGTTCTAAAAAAGAAGCAAAACCATTTTTAGGAAGAGTTGTTCGAAGAACCAATTAGCTAAAAGGAAAAATAGTGCTCCTTCTATTTTAATTCATTTAAAACAAATGATGCAAGATGGAATTGTTAGATAGGTTTTAGCTTCCTCTTCGGGTTTGCTTTGTAATGCTCAATTGAGTTTTTGCTTAAATGATTGTTGGAATTAGGGGTGAAGCAGTTCTATTTGAGGAAATTATGCCAATCAACATGAAGGCAACAAAGGTAACTACCGATTAACGTTGTGGGAATTATGAGTAAGTTACAACTCGAGTACGTTGTAAACACAAGATAACTGACCATCAACTATTTGACTTCTTTAGTTCAATTGAATATTCCACGACTTCACCCATTTTGCCATTAGGAAAAAACTGTATGTTTATAAAAAAAAAGAATTTTAAGTTATGGGATACGTCTGGGATTTATTGAAACTGTGACTCACAAAAGGTATAAAACTGAAAGTTGGAAGCAAAACCTGGTCGTCTCTTAATATGCTATGGTTTTTAATTTCCCTTAATCGATTTTTACTTGTAATCATTAACTTTCAAACACTTCCCAATATTCTCCTAATAAAAACTGAACCAAAAAAAAACTAAACTAACAGTTCATGAAAGGAATTTAATGTAGAAATTGTAATGTAAATAGACAAAAAAAAAGAACTTTAAACTAATTAATAATTTTCTCAGATAGGTTGAAACTTGTCATGAGTGAGAACCATAGGCGTCTAAAATTCTTGTGATTTGTTATGCAATAACCCAAACAAATTTAAATACTTCTACGTACTGATCTAGGAGATGAAGTGATTCCAGCTAGTAGCAAATGGACCGGAGAGAATTGGATACAACCACCTGAACAATATACACAGATAATCACGAAAATAAATCAAACAAATAGTAAAAATTAATACAAAACCTAAAATTCCCAACAAAAGCTTCCTTATCAAATCAATGCAAGCACTAATAAGAAGCAATAAGAACAAACAATAAACATAAAGTCAAAGTACACTGTGATTAGCAATTTAAAGAAAATAGAAGGGTAACAATCTCATTACATTCTTGGAATAAGACAATAATACATGAAAAAAGTTATCAAACAAATAAAAGATTTTTTATCTTTGTTTTGTTTATTCGTTATTATTGACAGTGTTAAATTCAAAAAAAAAACCATAGAAATAAGGAACTGTGTAACAGATAACCCAAAGGATTCGACAATGAAAAAGATACAAAAATTATACCATCTGATGACAAATTTGTTGTGATCAGCCTCTCTAATTATCGATCTGCATCAATTAAGAATAGTAACCAATAAGCAATAAAAGTTCAATAGACTCACTGAAGTAGTAACAATTCTAATTACAAATTTGTGAAAACGGGGCTAAAATCCAATAGTTTAAGTCAAAAGACTTTCAAATAATTCAATGTTTACATACATTTCGTCATAATAGTTTCTGAAATCTTCACGTGCCCCAAATCAAGCCAAAAGGACCCTAGAACCAATCTTACAATAGTTGAATTACAGAAAAAACAACATATAATGAATCAAAAACTTATATAGATAACATATAAGATCCTTGTTGAAATTAGGGCTTAAACTACCCTACAAAATATTTTATGCATATTTCATTAATTCCAAATTTATGTGGATTATATAACCCACATCTTATATCATTTAAAATATTTTATGCATATTTCATTAATTCCAAATTTATGTGGATTATATAACCCACATCTTATATCATTTTAACCAAATCACATATTACAGACCATCACAAAATTTATGTGGATTATATAACCCACATCTTATATCATTTTAACCAAATCACATATTACAGACCATCACATACCATCACAGATTAGATTAGTGTTTGCAACTATTCAATTAATTTATTAATCTCACAAACACTTTTATAATGTGTAACATTTTCATGTATAAATAGAACATCAAAATTTTCGTTTCAACAAAAACCCCAATTTACCTTAAATTGGCTGCGAAAGGGGAATTTTTAATCTCTGCTGATGATTAGACCATCTCCAATGGCTAACAATTGGGTATGTTATTTGGTGCAATGGCTAACAATTGGGTAGGCAAATGAAAAGTAGGAGAGAGAAAAGGCAAAATTTGCCTACCGGTTAATTTTCTCCAAGGGTACGGCTTGTCAGCAGCTGCAAACAAAAAAATGCATTACACCAATCTCCTTGCGCCACGTCAGCGAAGCTGGGACATTGAGATGGACACAGGCGCGTGTCCATGTTCACAAAAGAGAATGTCTTTTGTTTTTTTTTTTGTTTTTCTTTTGTTTTTCTTTCTTCCATTATTTAAATGACTTTTTTATATCAATAATTGCTCTAAATTAATTATTTTTTTTCACCCTTATTTTTTATTTTTCAAGGTCTATAAATAGAGCTTGAGTTTATGTTATTTGGACACAAAAAAAAATCAAGTTTTTACTCACTTCATTCCTTATATTACCAACTTCCACATTCTCACCCTCTCATTTTTTTCTTCTTCTTCCATCTTCAACATCCTTCATGGATCCTTCAGTTAACTTAAACTTTCTCCCAAATTACAACTATCCAAACCAATCTCAAAATCCGAATATGCAACCTCAAAATCCAAATACACAACGGCCTGAAAATCATCCTTACATGCCATATGGCTATCAAAATCCTAATATGATGCCACCAATTTATGGAATGCAATACCCGTATAATCATCCTTATATGCCATATGGCTATCAACCAGTTCCTGGAAACAGCTCTCTTCCATCTCATGTCAATTTTCCAAACATTGAACCGACTAGTGAGCCAAACACACCTCGCTTTAGTAGTGGATCCACTGATATCCCACAATTTTCTACACAAATCTCTCTGGGAGAACTTGGTGGGGATACTCCCCACAGTTTTGAAGCTCCAACCCAACAATCAGCGAAGAAAGGAAATTACGCCAGTTGGACTTTTGAAGAGAACAAGTTGTTATTAACTGGTTATTTCCACTACAGTACTGACAGTGAATTGGGTTCAAATCAAAAGGGTGATACTTTTTGGGGCAAAATCTCTGATTACGTGAATGAGAACTCCGATCGTGGGATACAGAGGAACATTGTAAAATGTCAAAGTCATTATCGTGACCTCAACAAGAAGATTAGTATTGTTGGTTGTTATAGTGCTGCTACTAGGGAGAGACGTAGTGGTTGGTCAGGCAATGACTACATATCCAAAGGTCTAGAGTTGTACAGTGAAAACCAAGGTACAAAGTTTCAATTGTTGGATGAGTGGATGTTGGTTCGTCACCAACCCAAATATATCACAGGAGCAACTGAATCTGGAAGTAGTGGATCTAAGAGAAAGAGTGGTAGCGATGACGTTGATTCTGCTATTCATTCCCTTGTACGTCCGGAAGGTAGGGATGCAACAAAGAAGAAAGCTAGAGCTTCATCTAGTAAACCATCAACTTCAAGAAAATCAAAGGTTACCATTCAGGAAGAGTTGTCCGATTTAGCATCTCGTCGTGACGCTAATGAACAATACAGGGCGACTCAAGTCTCAGCTATCCAGGAGTACAATCGCAATAAGAAGTTAGAGATGTGGTTGAGCTTGAAGAACAAAGAGGCCCGAGATGATGAAGATGAAGCGGCGTATAGTATGTTGAAGAATGAATTGTTTGGGAACTAGTTTGCATATTCCATGTATTATTATCGAATTGTGTGTTCTTCATAATAATGTGTGTTTTATTGTCGTGATGTATCTTCTTTAGTAAGCGTGTTGTTTGAATAAGAGTGTTGTTTGAATTACGATGTTTTGTTTGAATAATAGTGTTGTTTGAATATTGTGTGACTACACATTCTGACGAATATAAGGACATGGATATGACTACTCACTGCATTACACTCCA